CGGGCCCGCCCGGGCGCCCGCGGCCTCCCCGCGTCCCGCCGGGGGCTCCGCCGCCGCGCCGCGGCCCCGCCGCCTCCTCCCGCACCGCCTCCTCCCTCCCGCCGCGCCGCCGCCCCGCGCCCGGTTACATCGGGGGAGGCCGCTCGCTTCAGGCCGTGGTGGCTCTGGGACTCCCTGGCCGAGCTCATGGTGGAGGCTCAGTGACCGGGCCCCGCTGCCGCCTTCCTGCCGGAGCCGCTCCCTCGGGGGCGGGGGCGGGTTAAGGCCCGGGGGCCGCTGGGATCGGTAGTTCGGTGGCGGCGGTGGCGGCGGAAGCGCGGGCGGGCGGGGACTGCGCAGGGACTGCGCGGCCCAGAGCGCCCCGCGGCGCGGGGCCCGCCCCGTGACGGGCGGGGCGGGGACAGTGCCCGGCACTTCCCGCACATCCCGGCGCGGGGAGGCGGGGTGGGGGTGTCGTGTGTGTCGATGTCCGGCTCGTTCGGGGGTCAGCTCCCCGCCGCCCTCGGCTCTGCCCCCTCGTGTGGAGAGCGGCAGCGTGTGCTCGGAGTGGAGCCCTCTGTGTGCAGCTCCGGGTGTTTCCCACTTAACCCCTCCGTTCTTGGGCCGTTTGCCGCTGCTGCCCTTCCTGTGGTCCCGTCGCCCGCACGGGCTTTGCCATGCTCAAAGCGCAAATTCACCTACTGCCCCCACATTTGTTAATGCGTATAATGTCTCAAAGGTGGCTGCCAGACTCTTCTCAGTAGTGCCCAGCGACAGGACGAGGAGCAATGGCCATAAACTATAACACGAGAAGTTTCACCGCAACATGAGGAAGAGCTTCTTTACATTGAGGGTGGCAGAGTACTGGAACAGGCTGCCTAGGGAGATCGTGGATGGAATGGAATAGAATGGGAACGTCTCCCTGGAGACATTGAAAACCCACCTGGGTGCGTTCCTGTGTAACCTGATCCAAGTGACTCTGCTTTGGCAGGGGGGTTGGATAGATGATCTCCAGAGGTCCCTTCCAACCCTAACAATTCTGTGATTCTGTGCAATTTGTATTTTCTCACATATGTCTGCTTTGGAACTAGCTCAGTTTGAATGGGTTGCCATTGAATGTTAGCATTCTGGAGTTTTTGCTTAGCTTTACTGTCTGTGAAAATGCACAGTAACATTTTTAGGTCTTCTAACCTTAACTTTAAGAAAATCCCTTCTGTTTTAGTTCCTCAGTTACACTTTGTCCCCATGATAAAGTTGTAGCCATCCAGCTAATGCCAGGAGGTCATGGTGTGTGTGCTGAAATGTGCAAATGGTGTGTGCCAATTCATACCACAGCTTAAACCTGGCTACTTTAACCTTAAAGTTGGTTGCTTAAGGATTTTTGAAATAAGAATGAGATAAACTACCAGGGATAAAAGCAGCTCTGTGCACACATAAGAGTATGCATTCTTATTGTAACCTCCTTAACAACTGATTCAAAACAAATGATTGCAAATTTCTTGTGTCAAAAAGCTAAAGTCACTGCTGAATTAGATCTTTTTGAGTGGTTTGTGGTCTGTGTGCATGTTGTCCATGTGCATAAAGGCAGTCACTTCAGCCATGGACTTTTCATCTCCAGCAGTACCCATAAATTACATGTGCTTGTTCCCTCATTTTTGTGTGCTTTGCACACACAGTACGGGTGGTGAGAATACGTCCCAAATTTTCAGTTCTTCTCAACAGTTGGTTTGAATCTGAACTTCTAACTTTCAGTGATCTGAGCTGCATTTATTTTCAACTACTTATATTTAGTGGTTTGTTTGCTTATTTTACTTTAATCACAAGTTTTTATTCTTATTTTTATTGTGTTTTTTTTTTTCACTGCAACTGTTCAATGTTTTGGATTTGAGCCAATAAATCTATCTGCCCACCTGTCTAGCTCCGTGTTCCATCAAGGAAATTTTTGGATTATGAAGGTTAGAGGGAAGGAAGGACAATGCCTGCTGATGCCAGTTATAATCATCTGCAAGGGAGACTTGGCACCTGAGCTGGGGCAATCCCAAGCACAAATACAGGCTGGGCAGAGAAGGGATTGAGAGCAGCCCTGAGGAGAAGGACTTGGGAGTGTTGGTGGAAGGAAATCTTTACATTCACTGGCAATGTGCACTTGCAGCCCAGAAAGCCAACCACAACCTGGGCTGCAGCAAAAGCAGCCTGTCCAATAGGTCTGGGGAGGTGATTCTGCCCCTCTACTCTGCTTTCATGAGACCCCACCTGGAGTGCTTCCAGCTCTGGGACCCCCAACGTAGGGACATGTGGACCTGCTGGAGTGAATGCAGAGGAGGGCTGTGAAGATGATCAGAGGACTGGAGTACCTGTCCTATAAAGACAGGCTGAGAGGGTTGGGGCTGTTCAGCCTGGAGAAGAGAAGGCTCTAGGGAGACCTTAGAGAGCCTTCCGGTACCTAAAAGGGGTCTACAGGAAAGCTGGAAAGGGACTTTTTACACGGGCATGTAGTGAAAGGACAAGGGGGAATGGCCTTAAACTCAAAACAGGCAGGTTTAGATTGGATGTTAGGAAGACATGCCTTACTGTGAGAGTAGTGAGGCACTGCAACAGGTTGCCCAGAGGAGCTGTGGCTGCCTCATCCCTGGAAGTGTTCAAGGCCAGGCTGGGTGGGACTTCAAGCAACCTGGTCTAGTGAAAGGTGTCGCTGCCCATGGCTGAGGCATTGTAACAAGGTAATCTTTAAGGTCCATTCCAACCCAAACTAATGATATTATATGATATGATGTGATATGTAGAATATAATTATTTTCAGCTATTATTCATATAGAACAGCACCAGGATAGTGATGTTTTATTTCATGTTTACATATATTGCACTGCTTGAGTGTGCAAAACCAAAGAGAAAGGCACAGTTGTTACATTTGCTTTCTACAGCTTCTGTGGTTATTGTTTGACAATGACAAAGAGCAGAAGGGAGAATTAATCTGAGATAATCATGTATTTACAATTTTAACTTCATTTCATGTATTTAAATTTACACTATTATATAGAGACTGTAATAATGGATTAGTTTAAATTTTATAATTTAAAAATTATTTCTAACGAGGAGTAAAATTGCAAAAAAAAAGGGAAAATGACATTATAAATTAAAAAACTTGATTTTTTTAGTAGTATCTAGAGGCATATTTAGTCTGTTAACTTAATAGGAATTGTGATAATCTAATACGAGTGAGACTGTACCTTTCTTTTTTTTAAATTAAGATGTTATTAGGACTTCTTCACTATTATGCCTAAAGACCTTAATAAAAAGTCCCTTAATAAAAACAAGTTGAAATTTTAGCTTCTTGGCCACTTTTCTTTTATGGAACAAACAGAGAAGGTTTGTCTTTGGGGGAAAAAAAGTAGAAGAAAATGAGACTGTTAAACTCTAAATCAGCTATTATAATTGTGTCTTATTTGTGGCTTACTGTTAAATTCCAGTCTTTTTGAGGACAACTGAAATGAACTAATGTTTATATGTCTGACTAATGGTTTGGTAATTTTGTTTTTGTTTCCATTTTGAATAATAATGTGCTGCTGCTATTTCAGTGAGATGCTTTTACAAATTTTTTTCCCCTTAGTTTTTTGCTCACTTGTATAAAATGCTCTGGTTTTGCAGACAAGAGCTACCTTACTAAACAAATACATCCTCAACATTAAATGGAAGCTATCTACTTATGAGGTAGCTTAAAAATGGAGAGATCTGACTGCTAACAAAAATGTGGATTCTCTTAGTAGCAGACTGGTTATGTAAAGGTTTCACTTATCTTTTTGGAGATATTACAGATAACTCTGAGGATGTGTGATTCATGAGCTTTATGTAATTCCGGTAACACTAGTTAATGATAAGAAAGGAGTTCTGAAAATCCTGTCATGCTGGGATCCAACGTTACATTTGCTGTATTCTTTCGAGCAACTGAGAAATGCAGTGATTTGCAGGAGAACAAAACAGATCATGTTTCTAAGAAGAAACCTGTCTCCTCCAGTCTCTGAGACTGTTTTAGAATACAAACAAAACCATATGTAAGGATCCTGGGCAATATTTCTGTGAGCTTTCCACAGTTCTTTGAAATGTTTGAAGAGACTGTTCTGAAGTTAATATTCAATTCACAGCAGGTGAGATTTTGTCATGAAACAGAAACTGGTTATGATGCAGAAATCAGACCTCAAGTAAATAACTATCAGTGTAGCAAAAACACAATGGGGAGGAATGTTTAGGTTTCTAGTTAAACATAAGCAGAGACAATGAGATGAGAGTGAGATGAGGTGAAATGACAAGTAAGGTAACAAAATTATTCAGTGTCATGTACAATTATACTGCGTTTTAGGCTTTTCAATGTATTTCTGCTTCTCTACTGAGCTCCAGTCTGTGGATGGGAACCATCTTTGGGGGTGAAGGGCAGGTGCACACCAGCTCTCTTACAGGAAATACCAGAAGAGCCACTTGAATGAAGATTTCCCACCCCAGTCCAATTCCAAGTTTTGAAGCTCAGCAGTTTACATTATAAAAACTTTCAGGCAGATAACAGCTTAGGAAAGCTGGGGATGGGAAAGCTGAGGTTTGACTAGATATTGCAGCAGCAGTTTCATGTTTGAAGAACCTGATGTAAAATCTTCACAGTTTTTAAAATATTTTTTTTAAGCTTTCTGTGTGGAGTGAGGTAGGGTAGATTAAAGTAGAACCATGTCTGACAGCCAAAAGAATTTTTCACAATGTAATGTGATAAGGGTGTCTTTGCCATGCAGTGATTGACTAAGCTGCAGTAATAAAACTATCCCAGAGTGACCAGTCCTGGCTTGGAAGCCATGGATAGAGAGTTGAATCTTCTCCCATTTAGTCCTGGCTTCACCCAAGACTAAGTGGCTTTTGGCAAATTATCTCACCTTTCTGCTTTATCTGTGAAATTAGGGTAATATATCTACATGCCAGCATTAAGAATTAATTAACAGTTGCAGAGTGTGTTCAAAGCAATGTAGAAGAGCTAAATATTAGCTATAGAGTAATTGGACTACTGTAATTTATTATGTGCTCACTGACATTGGCATATAAAATAGGATCAACCTCTTCTCAAGTGCTGTAGAATGTTTAATTGTTACTAATGAACTTCTCATACTCAAAGTAGCTATCGCTGTGAGACAGGGAATGCTGCCAGTATCTGTCTGTAGGAAAGCTTAACAAGGAAACTAATGATTTCTTTTTAGCTTGAAATAATAATAAAAAGTATGTATGCACACATACACTTACTTCAAGTGCA